TTCTCCAGAGTGCTGGGAACATCCCACCCCGTGCCTCATTCCGTCCAGCAGTGCTGCTGATGATGGCAGGAGACAGCCCTGCTCCCTGGTGGGCTCATGACAAGCAACAGATCAGGCTAAACAAAATCCTTCCTACACTTCACCTGGCAGTGATTCATGGAGTGTCACCCACACCAAACAGGATGCTAGATAAACACATGCTTAGTATTTGTCAGTCACTGTTCCCAAATGTTCAAATGCTACATTTTGACTGATGTGCATGTTTGGATCTAGATAAAGCTGTGAAAGGCTATTTGCTGGAATGTTGCTACTGCTTAAATTGAAGGATCAGACTACAGGAGGTTGCTGAGATGAATGCACTTGTTACAATACATCTTTATTATTTGTATGATTTAAAGCACTCTAACCAGGAATGGTTTTTAAAAAGAAAAAAGATGCCCAACTGCTATGTTTGCTTTTTTATATAAATCATATGTTTACCTTTATGTGAATTATATTCATTTATATGAATTATATACATTTACACCTAAGGCAGTCTAGAATATCAAGAGCAAGACTGTGCTAAGTTGTGAATTTGAACCCCAGTTCTGGTACTGACTGGCACTCAGCTGCAGAGAGGATCAAGAAGTGTGTTATTTTGTTTTTGCAAAAGTCAAAAGGTACCATGGGAGAGAGATTTAGTTTATTCTAAGTTCACCCAAAAAGATGAAATAAGGACCATCAGATGGAAATGTAGGGGAGAGCTTTTTCTGATAAGAGGAGGAGCTTTCACTCCACATCCAGACCTGCATTATAGGCCTTAGGAGGCAGCAAGTCCTCTGCTCCCACAGGTGGGCAGTCCCAGGGAGGGTGTGAGAGGACTCAGCCTTCCAGTGAGCAGGCTGATGGACACCTCAAGCCCTCAGAACCAATGAGCTCATGAAAGCAGATATGAGTTACAAAGCCTTTGTGGGTGGTCCTTCTGGATTAATCACAAAAATATCTATGGTTCTGTTTTATTTTCACTTCGTTTATTGTGGCAAGAACATTCAAAATGAGACCTACTTTCTTTTATTTTGTTAAATTTTGTTATTTGTTCTACATGACAGTAAAATGGATTTTGACACATCATACATAAATGGAGAATAACTTCTCATTGTTCTGATTGCACATGATGTAGACCTACTTTCTTAACCGACTATTAAGTGTACAATATAGCATTATATATCTGGGCACCATGTCAGACAGCAGATCTCTATGACTTATTCATCTTAACTGGAATCATTCGTGCCACTAATTATACCCATTGTCTCATTGACTTTGTTGTTGTCACTGGCCTGCCTGTTCTTGTCTTTCAGGCATCGAGAGTAGACTATGACCCTGGCAGTGGCTACTGGGCAGTTGAGGTCAGCCACCTCTGGCCTGCCTCTGCCATAAGTTGCTGAAGAAAGGCCTTTCCTTAGAAATACTTCCAAACAAAAGACGGTGTAAATTCTGGCTCCTTTTTCTCAAAAATTTTTTAGGAACCAACCAAACARAAAAAGACTAAAAGATATTCTCATCTCTGCCAGAACTAATCAGAGTTAGCTGGAAGTGATGAGCTCCCAATAACTGGGAGCATGTAAGTTGAGGCAGGAGGAGGAGGAGGAGTGGATCACAGAAGGCCTGTGCTCAGCTTCTGGCAAGGCATCCCCAGGACCTCAGCAGGCAGGTGTGGTGCCCTCCCATACTCCCTGAGTGTCTGCCAGGACTTCCCTTCATACCAAAACGTTACCCCAGCTGTTAGCCTCCYGAGCATGCTTAGTCCTAATACCTCCTGAGAACCAGTAAAGAGACCATGTCCTCTGACCCAGAAATCCTATTCCTTGGCAGTCAGCTGAGGCACATGCTGGCCCCTGGGAGGAGCCWTGTAGCAAAGATGCTCATGGCAGCAGCAAGAAGAGAATGGTCAGCATATGRCAAGCATCCCCTCACAAGAATGTTAAGAGTCCAGAGTGTTACCAAGACCAAGCTCAGGGACTCATTGTGCTAAAGAGTAAATCTAAGGAATGTTAATGCCATGTCATCCACTCATCTACTGTCCTCAGTCACTAGTTCCATGAACCCTTCCCTGACCCCAGGCAACATGCAAACAGGAGATGTCAGGGTGCCCACCTGGCCTCAGACACTTGTTTTGCCTCCCAACATACACATACAAACACGCACACGTACACACACACACACACACACACATGTGCACAAACACACACACATATACAGACACCCACGTGCACACATGCACATACACACACACACACACACAATGCCAAGTCCAGGTAGGAAGACAGAATGAGGGGTCAAGCCTTCTGCCCAGGTTGCTCAGGAGACTTAAAGACCCATGTCCACCTCTACACACAAACCAGGTAAGTCACTCTCACTCTCTAGCTCTGTGTCCTCATCTGTAGCCTGGAAACTGAATTGTTTCCACTCACCAGCCTTTGAAGCTATTTTTGTGGGGCAACTCAGTATATCTTCATTTCTTGGGTGAAAGAKTTCCAAAAATCCCCAAGAACCTTCTCGCCCTGAGAATTCCCTGCAGGCCTTTCTCATTTAATGGTCTGCCTTGGGAGCTATACATCAATAATGTTGCCTTTTTTTTTTTTTTTGAGACGTTTCCAAGCATGAAGACAAAGCCTTTTGTTGACATGGAAATTATCTTTGAGATCTTTTTCCTCTGACTTCCGTCTCCCTGTCCTTGAAGAAGTAATTCAAACTCTCTGGTCCTTGTTTCTGACACTGAGATACCAACAGCACGCAAGTCACTCAGTCCTGGCKCACAGTAACTCCACAGACAATGAACCTGCCTTGGAACCATCAGCACAGCCTTGGAGGAAGAGAGGCAGGCAGGAGGGCCTTCTAGGGCTGAAAGGAAGTGCTTAGGAATGGCAGGATCTCAGACTAGGAAGAGCCCTTAAAAGCTCACCTGGTCCAAGTCTGAACCTGAGTTCAAACTTAGCCCTCCTACAGCCCTGTAAATRGACATGCAACCTGTGTTTGAATACCTCCCACAGTGGAGAAATCACACCTAATAAGTTTATCCCTCTTGTTTCTGGACAGTTCTTTCAATTGAAATGGAATATGGCACCCAATGATCCAATGAACAGATCAGTTGCCCCTTATCCAGAATGCCTCTCCTACCCCAGGCCACTGAGGCCACCTGTCTTCTCCTCTGCACCAGAGGATCTTCCCATGGTCATATTTATCTTTCCACATAAGCCACAGTTTCTGTTTCCAAGAAATCCTGGCTTTTCTGATCTAAATGCAGTTTTAAAACATTTATGAAGCATTAAAACTCTGTGGGCTGCATCAACCTAGGGCCACTTGACTATTTTGTAGGTGGAAAAACTTGTATCTTATGACACTTTGAACAAACTCTAGAAAAGCTAGATACAAATGCATTTCTGCTCTGAASACTTAAAAGTGTCCATAGCTCTCCTGGAGCCCTTCACAACCCCCCACAAGAAGAGATCCCCATCCCATCCAACCTCTTGCCTAACAAGAGAGGCCCAAGTACCTAGCATGGTGACCTTCCAGGACCACTCAATATCTGAGTGACAAGAAGACATAGGATGGAGCAGGGTGCTTCCATCTATAGCACCCCAGGTTCATGAGACAGAAGCAAACTACAACACATGACATGCCTGCATGTCTCGGAAACTTCACATGTTACCTGTTTTGAGTCCTTTTATCATCTCCATTTGTTAAATGAGGAAATGGAGGCTCCTGGCACAGAGCCTTGGGTTTATCCATGACAATAGGACAAAAACCATAGAGTTAAGACTAGAAGCCAAAACTTGACAGGTTAGCTTCTGCCACACCTAATAGCATAAAGCTGGCAGTGCGCCCCACAAAGCAGTCCTCTAACTAAACAGAAGCCCTGGAAAGAAACTCCCCAGGCCCTGAACCAAACTAGGTCTTTCTATCATTCTGCTAGGCATAAATTATCAAAGACAGACAGATGACCAGTGTAGACAGAGAACTAGCMGCTCAGGATCTGGGAGGTGACAGAGAATGCAACAAAGTTCTAAGCAGGGAGACCCTGCAGACTTCTGGGACAGGCAGCAGGCAGGGCCTCCTTCATGGATGCCTGACAAGCGTGTCTGCCTGTCATCTGGCCTTCAATGGGGAGATATGAGGCTCACTGTCCAAAAACACACTGAATTAACATTATGCTTCGTAAATGGGACAAAAAGCTCCGGTCTGCTACAGAACACAATATGCAGAGAAAATAAAAGTAGTCAAAAACACCTCCATGGTCTAAAGGAAGCTGGGAAACGGGCAAGAAAATGCTCAGATAAAAAAGAGACCTGCATTTAGCTCAAGAAGGCAAAGTCCAGCTAGGGTTGTGGCTCAGTGGTAGAGCACTTGCCTACCACATGCAGGGCCCTGGGTCCGATCTTCAGCACCACATAAAAATAAATAAGCAAATTATACAATAAAAAGGTATTGTGTCCAACTACAACTAAAACAAATACTGAAGAAGAAGAAGAAGAAGAAGAAGAAGAAGAAGAAGAAGAAGAAGAAGAAGAAGAAGAAGAAGAAGAAGAAGGCAAAGTCCCTTGACAGTCAATGCAAAGCCTAGAAGATGTTCTTCACCTCCATTTCCCAGTCTTTCTCTCCCTTCTTACTGGAAAAAGGAAGAGGACAGCACAAACCACTTGAGAAGCAGCAATTTCAAAGGGCTCTGGCATTTAACCCTGTGGTCATCCTGGTGATGCCCAGTGAGAATCAAACAGGTACCGTCTCCCAGACTATTCCATGTCCCTCTGAAACGGAGGCCAGGCACACACACACACACACACACATCTGCTCCTAACTGGGATCATCCCCAAAGGGCTTCAGCAGGAAACAGATTTGAACCTGGAGAGAGCCCCCTCTCCAGCCTGTACCCACTCCGCTGTCCCCCTTGCCATGGGGAAGGTCGGAGTGCACGGAGGCCTGTGACCTCAGCATATGTGGCAGAGAAGAGACTCGGGCCTTACCTGGCACAGAGGTGCTCAAGGGTGTCAGTCAGTGCTGTCCTGGGCTGGAGCCCCTGGAAGCGGTGTTGGGAGAAGATGCCAGCTCCAGAAAGTCCCCTCCTGGGGTCACCTGTCAACAGTCTACCTGCTTTCCCTCCAAAACCTATCACGTTCAGCCCCAGGCAGGACTCTCCAGAAGTCCTTCCCAGCCAGGGGTCCAGAGAGCAAGTTTTGAAACAAACAGCTAAGCGCCTGGAGTTAGAAGGCAAGGCTTGAGACTTACAAATGGAGTAGAAACTGTGAGAAACAAAAAAGTAGGGAGAGGAGAAGACACTCCGGGGAGAAGCGCAGCAGCCCCAGCGGCCGGTGACTGCCTGAGAACAAAGCTGTCCGGCCTCCCCGGGGCGCCCTGGCGCAGCGCTGGGATTCCCTGGCTGCGAGCGCGGGGCGCGGGGCGGAGCGGCGGGGCGGGGGCGGGGGCGGGGGCGGGGGCGGGGGCGGGGCCGGAGCGCGGGGCAGGAGCAGAGGGGCGGGCCCGGGCGCCCGGGGTGGGGCCTGACCGCGCCGGGGCGGAGTCTGCGGGAGCCAGAGCCCCGGGAGCTGGCCCAGCCTGTCCCCGCGCGCAGACGGCCGGCAGCTCCCAAATGGAAGGGGGCGGGCGGAGGGCGCGGAAGGCTGGCGGCAGCCCGGGCAGGTGTCTCGGGGACCGGGGGACACTTGAGGCTGCGCTAGGAACCCCAGAGAGCGCGGACAACTCTCTGTCCAATTTTAGACTTCGCCGGATATTTCGGTCCCTCTTACAGCCGGTCTGAAATAGCCCACCGCCGAGGGAGGCAGCTGCCGCGGCGCCTCTGGACCYCGCCGAGGGCAAGGGAAGGGAGCGCTCTGCTTTCTGTCCAGCACTCAACCAGTGCTTGAGTTTCCCTCCTGTCAGAGCACGTGACAAAGTCACCTGCACTCACCCCTCGGTGCCAGGGCTTCCTACAGGTGGCCCTGTTTTCGGGACTGTCACTTCAGCCCAGGGGTGAGGAGGGGTGAGGGGTAGATGGTGTCTTTATTTGGGGATAAGGATGGTGAGGTCTCAGAGAGAGCCTTTGTCACCAGCCAGGGCCCTCAGCGGATCAGGGAGGGAGCCCGGGTTAGTCGGATAGGAAGGCTCTTCTTACCAGTGGGCTTCCCAGCCCCCAGAGGCAGAACCCGAGCCGGTGCTGGCCTGGGTGCCCTTCTGCATTTCCTTTCTGAGAGCTGTTCCTAAAAGTGGGCCAGGCGGGGTATTTTGAACTAGATGAGAACATGGCTTAATTTGAATGACCTCTCCCATCCCTCTGCTCCTAGTCTCCCAAACACTGTGTGTCTTTATTTGGCTGCCGGCTGAGTAGCCACAGTTTAATAAACAGACACAATGGGGCTCATCTGTGCCCCCCCCCCACACACTCAACATCCTAGCCCCTGCCTCCTGTCCTGCCTCCTTTTCCAGCCACCCTGTGGCAATTCATTCCTCATGTGCTGGTAGAATGCCACTTGTTGCAGGRACAGTGTTGGGTACTGGCCAAGTAGAGCAGAGGTGTGCCCTGTGTCAGAGTGGGTCCTGCATCAGGAAAGGTGACAGGCTGAGATGAGTGCCCAGCTAGGTTACCTCAGTTGCAGGTAGGGCAGGGAGCCGAGAAGAGTGACCACACTTGTGTGAGAAGCGCCCAGGTCTCAGTATCTCAACAAGTAGTTACAGGTGCCCAGCTGAGCGGAGCTGAGCAGGAACCCAAGCACATGTCCCCACGCCTGCTATGGGGAAACAGAAAACAGCAAAGCAAACGACTGGTGTTCATTGGCTGATTTTACATAAAGATGTGAAAACATGATGAAATCAATAGATATACAAGATCGCACCCAATTAGGAGACTTCAGAAAACTAGACAGCGGAACCCGAAAAGAAACTAGGAGAGCAAATAAAGACCCCTCTTGAGGACAGGACACACGGAGGGGTGGCACAGCCCCTGCCCTGCAGCTCTCCTGTGGCCCAGTACTTCCCACTGTTCCTGCAGGACCCAGGCCCTCAGCTGGACTCAAGGTCTCCCCACCCTACTTTCCACTCCAGGCAATGCCTCAATATCCTCCCTTCCTTCCCCTCTTTTAATTCTAGTTTTTAAATAATCTTACATGTCRGGGCACAGTGTGTTGCTTCAACACCTGCACACCTTATGCTGCTGCCACCAGAAAACTGGAATGAATCTTTCCTGGGGTTGGAGAACCCAGGGGGACCCCATGTAGACAACAGGCTTCCTACATCTCCCCCACAGCCATGCAGAGCTCCCAGGAAAGGCAGGCTGCATTCCACATCAGCACCGCCTCCGCCCCTTCTCCCCTCCATTATGTTCCAGGAAAAAGGCTCCTGGGGAAATGGCCATGGCTGGAGAACACCTGCCCTGCCTCAGCGCGGTGCTCCGCCGCCAGCTCTTCGTCCTCTGCGTGCTGCTGTGGGACATTAAGCAGCTGCAGACAACCAGCAGGGGTTCTGGAAAGACCATTCTGAAACCTCTGTCTCACTTCCTTCCCCTTCTGGACTGTTTCTCTGCTGAGATGACAAAGTGCTCAGAGAGCCAAGATGTGACAAACAGGAATAGAAGATCCACATATGCATCATCACACCCCACTCCACGGATATGCATTTAACAGAGTAAAACAATGTGCCCATGTGACTTGATTTGCTTTTCCTGTCTATCGCTCATTCTSTGGCTGTGATAACTGATGCCCAAGGGAAGCATAAACGGCCACTTCCAGGAATTGCCAGTCGGAATTCATATTCCTCTGTGGAACTGGACACCTGTCTGTGTCTCTGGTGGGTGGCCCTGCTCAGGGCTTCCCAAGCTGGTAGTCAGATGGAGGAGTTCTCTGCCAAGTTTATCCCAGAGTGCTGGCAGCCCCCAGTCCCTTGCCACAGTAGGCCCACACCCTGTCAGTCAGGGACTGCTCTGGGATTCCAGGACCGCCTCCTCCATCGGCTGCTTCAGGGAGCCATCCATCCGCTCTTCTCCGTCTAGGATGAGGGCAGTGCTCCTGGGCCTCCACCTCTGCGACCAGCCAGAGAAGGTGGTCAGCTCCTTTAAAAGGCTCCCTTGACTAGGTGACACCCTCGGGGTGATCACCCGATGCCCAGGTCACTTGTGCTGTCTGACATAGCAGCGTCAGGCACAATCATCACATTTTAACATCTGAGGGATTTGAGTACGAGATTTACTAAAAACTCACAMACCGCCTGCTCCCCTTTTTATAATATTTCTCACAGAAACTTGTCACTCTTCTTTTTTCCTCTTTGAAACAATTGCTTCCTGCCTTTTTATTTGGCTTTTCATCTCCTGGAGGGCAGTAAAGTGTTCACTAGGGCACTCCCATCCCTGGCCCAGAGCTTGGTCTAGGAAAGTGCTCCACGGTATTTATGAGGTATGATGCTGAGTTGGCTCCACTCACAACAGCTGGCACCGGGCTGGCCTGTGAGGTTTCAGTCAGACATAAGATTGGCGTGTCAAGATACATAGGACCCAGAGGTTAAAAAATATAAAAGYTGCAGAAAAGTGAAGGACCCAAGAACATGTTCAGCTAGGTTGTTCCCCAGGGTGATAATGGGATGTCACACTCCAGGCACTCCTGAGCTACCTGTCCTGAGTTGCTGTGTGGCACCCTGAAGCTGGCCAGACCTCTCTGATGGAAGTCTTTTTCTGCTTAGAATTAGTTCAAGGGCTTTGGGCAAGTTCCCTGACTGTTCAGAGGCCCAGTCTTGTCATCTCAAGTGTAGACTGTAACTCCCCACCCCAGAGGATGTGTGGAAGGCCCAAGGCACAGCAGGTGCCCAGGCCTGGCAGGTAGGTGCTTATGTGGCCCCACTAAGTGTGAGAAGAAGCCAAGTGGAGAGTGTGTCTCCTGTTCCTGGGACTCTTACCATCTCCTTGGAGAAATCAGATATGAAACATGATGAAATCAATAGACATACAAGATCGCACATAATGAGGAGACTTCAGAAAACTACTTGCTGGGTCAAAAGGCTATTTTAAAAAAATAACAATTAAAAAAAAGGCAAAAGTTAGCTCAAGTGGTGGGAGAAGCTTCCTGGAAACAAGGTACTTTTGATTTTAATTCAAAATAAAATTGTTTTCATTGGTCAAATAGAGGACCCACTTGAATCAAATGTACGAAATATGATATGTCAAGAACTCTGTAATGTTTTGAACAACTATAATAAAAATTAAAAAAAAATTTAAAAAACCAAATACATGAAAATACTGAGAAGCCAGGATAAACAAATACTCGCCATCCTGTGACCAGAAGCGTTGTTTAGGCTTGCCCCATAGTCTTSCAGATTGCTTCCCATGAGTAACAGATGACTGGGAGAAACAACCTGCATTCTCTCCTCGTCCTGTTGCCCAACCTGTTATCCTGGGAGATTTGTTTTCCCTCCACACGGATGGGTGGGTGGCATCGTTGAAGTGTTCCTCTGCAGCTGACAACTGTGGTTCTCAGCCATTCCCACCCTTATAGGAAAGGAACTCTAGGGCAAATTTAAGGCTTTTGATAAAATCCAGGCGAAGGAGAGTTAGGAAGTGCACATGATAGGAAGGTTTTCCAGAGTCCTGGGGGCTGAGCGTGAGTGGTTACACAGAGGTCCCCTCCAGGAATCCAGCTCCTAGGCCGGGGAGAAGCTTAGAAGTTAGCACCCGTCATTCCATTTCACCCAGAAAGAGGAGCCCAGGAGGCAGGGAAGGGAGGAGAGGAGTCCCCAGGGACAGTCCTCAAGGTGGGTGCCGACCTGGGTCTCAGAACACGGTTTTGAGTGTCTCTGCTCCTGTCTCTTCCATGAGCCAAATCACACTGCGTTGGAGTTAGAGAGAGCAGCCTCCGGGTGGGGGACTCTCAGCTTCAATTTGTTCACATTAGAGCCCTGGGGGAGCCTCCCTCCCTTCCAGACGCACACCCCACCTTTCTGCATCACATCTGTCCTCCATAGCCTTGTCCCTTTGTCCCTTGAGAGGACCTCCTTCTCTCCCTCATGGCCACCCCTCGCCTCTCCGACTGCTCTGTTCTGTGTGCAGGACTTCTGGCCAGGGCCACATAAGAATGACCCATGACGTCCTCATTTGGACCTGCTTGGCCCTGGTGTCCACCCGTCTCTGAGTTTCTAGAAGACCTGGCCCTCTCTGGCCCAGACTGACTTCCGGGCCCTGACACAGCCTGACCTAGGCAAGCGCTCCGTCAACACCGACAGCCCTCTCTAAATCAGGCGTTTGTCACCGCACGGTTCCCTTAGCCCCCATTCTCATCTGGTCTGAATGGTGATTCCCCCCAGACCAGGAATGTTTGCTGCTCCAGCTACCATCAAATGCCCACGGCCTTCCCA